TGTTTTAGGTTTCTTACCAGCTCTACAACGTAGCCTGCTTCCCAAACATTCAAATACCTCACTGTCTTTCTTAGAATTTGCTGGAATAATTGACATTGTCTAAACCTAAGGCATTACCTGTCCTATATGTGCTTGAAGAAGGCAAGAAGAGTGAAAAAAGTGGAAGAAAACTGATGTTGACCACTAGGTGAAGGCTTTGGGGTATTGAACTGGAGTGTTCAGGTGATCACCTCAGTTTGGCCTGTGGCTGAGGTGGTTCAGGTGAGGCGAAAAAAAATCACAATGTAGCTTAGTCATTTCTGTGTCAGTCTGTAGGAATTTTGTGCTGAAACAAGCTGATAAGCTCCAAAGCAATACAGTGTGAATAAGAAGAAGTGATTGACAGAAGTGAGTCTGTAAATTAAGTCTTCTGTTATTGTTGATCTATATTTCATTTTTTTTTTTTTCTTCTAGCAGTGTATTTTAGTTACCATAGATGTAAAATTTTATACTGTATATCATGAAACATGAGGTATTAAACTTATTCATTCATTGTAAAATAGAGGAAACTCTTATATTGTTGCTTTTGGGTCTTCCTTTGCTTTCTTTTAAAGTCAGTGGAATACTTTTCGTGGTTTTGAGCATGGTTTGCATCAGGCAGTTTCCCACCCAGCATTATGTAATGAGACCATATGATCAGTTTAGCCCACAGAATGGATGTTAATGTAGTTTCTACAGCAGAATCTCCATTTCTGGGGAAAAAGTTGATAAACGTACAGTAAATGTATTGAAACTGAAAAATGAAGTTCAGCTTGTACTGTTTTTTAGACTAACTTTGTGCAGAATGTCATCAGATGAGGAAAAAAGCACAAGTCCAGTTTCTTCAGATCTTCAGGTAGGAAAGAGGCAAACTCATTTAGTTTGTTATCACAGCATTTTATTTGGCAAAGGATAATTAAGAAGAAATTAACAAAATTTGCGTTATTTTTGGTTTACATGTACAGGAAAATAATTAAAATTATAATGAAAATAAGCAAATGAAAAAATTCTTAGATTAAAATACCTTCACTTGGGTTCCCTTTTGTGCATTTCACAAGAAATTTCAATTTATGTGGCCTTTCTTATCTAAACTTCAGGGGTTGATCAGTGACATCTGCAAGTGAAATAGTACACTTTTCTGACCTTTTTCCCCCCATAGTTTTCTTTTTATATGTGTTAAGTCCTATCAAAAAGCATAAATTTGACATGGTAGGATCAATACCCATTATTTATGAGGGATTAAGTGTAACTATTAGGGTTCTTACTTGATGTTGTAAGAACTGATTTTTTTTTTTTAATGGATTTATTTTCCTTGGATTAGGATAGTGACCAGGTTAATCTCAGAAAGGAAATGTTTTGGGTTTTTTGTTTTTTATTCGTCAAATATGCCAAGCTGTGCTGGAACTTTAATAGTGGAGGGTTTTCTTTTCTATGCTTAGCATTCTTTTGAGAGGATGCAAAGATACTGCATGAAGTCTTTGTCCCATTCTTTTGAAAACAGCAGATTTTTGTCCTTTGACAGTTGGTTATTCCTGTTCTGTTTGAGTAGTAGGTAGGTTTTTTCCTTAGATAAGATGCTATTCAAAGCAGACTAGTTTTGACAAAAGGTTTGCTTGTTGCCCTGTAGAAATGCATCTCCACATTTGTCACCTGGTGGAATGCTTTTTTTCCTTCATGTGATTGACTTTATTCCATTTAAGCTACTTGTTTATGGGCAAATCGTTTCTGCAGTTTGTATGCTTCTTGTGAATTGGATTGTGGCCATATCTCATGGGTAAGTTTTCTTAATTGTTGTTCAGCAGCAATAATCCATCTGTGTGTCCAGTGCCTTTTGTAGTTGGAAAACAAGGTTAAGGCACTGGGCAATAAATCTTGAAAGACTAGATTTTTTGGTTTTTTTTTTTATGATCTGGTTGCCAGGGAAGTTTTAAGGCTACCTTATAGGGAACGATAAACTAATATTAATAAATGACTGCTTTGCAACTGAGAACACATCTAGAATAGAATAGTGGAAGTGACCTACAATGATCACCTAGACCAACTGACCGACCAATTGAGTGTTGTCCTGAAGTTAAAGCATGTTATTAGTGGCCTTGTCCACATTCCTCTTGCACACTGACAGGCTTCGGGCAGCAACCACCTCTCTAGGAAGCCTGTTCCAGGATTTGACAGTCCTCTCAGTAAAGAAATGCTTCCTAATTTCATCTGAAACTCCCTTGACACAGCTCTGCACCATTCCCACGTGTCCTGTCACTGGATACCAGGGGGAACATGAAGCTGTGGAGAGCAGTGAGGTCACTCATCAGACTCCTTTTCTCCAGACTACACAAATCCAGAGTCCTTAGCTGCTCCTAGTAGGAGTCTATTACTGTTGAAAAAGAGCACTGGGGTCACAGCTGAGAAATGTTGACAGGGAACATTATCCTTTTAGATAATTTTGAAGGGTCTTTTTTAATTTGTTTTGTTTGGATCTTTGATAATTTGATGCTTTTAAACAGAGACCAGATTGCTACCTTTTCTTTATTTAAAAAAATCCACTGGCTCTTAGAGAATTTCCATTTACTTATAACTGAGTTGTGCAAGACTGTCCATTCAATCTGCTCTTTTTTGTGTTTAGTAACCTTGGCTACAACCCTCAGGACAAATTCTATGCAGCATCTGTAAATTTTTATAATGGTTTAAGAAGAAAATAAAAAAACCAAAACTCTGAATACTCTTGTGCCCTTTGCTAGTTGCAACACTAATTTCTTTACTTCTTGAAAATCAAGGTAGTATGCATTAAATTATCAAAACTCTTCTGACCTTCCAGCATTAGGACTATATTCCTGTAGTACAATTTTAGTATCTGACACAAAAACTTGAAAGTTTTGTTTAAAACGGAACAGAGATTAAGTAAACCAAGGATACTTTATCAGTTTTATTTTATTATTTTTTTAATAAAAAATTATTACTCAGTATTGCATTTCAGTTGCAGCATCCTTTGTATGGAATATTTAAGATTGAGATAATATACTTAATCACTCAATGTTTCCATTTTTCTGTCTTATGTATTCTTATTAAAGTCTTCAGGATTGTGTTGGTTTTGTTTGTTATTCAGTTTCTGGTTACAATTGGGATACTGTTTCCTTTTATATTTGCTTTCAGCGTCATTACAACAGTGTTGTAATATTGTAATTTGTAAGAATTTATTGCCTACTGACGCTTTGTGCATAAGGATGTGTTCTTGGCACATAGTGCATCCTTTAGGTTATACTAAGAGTGTTAAAAGTTGGAAGACTGTATAAATGTGTGGCCATAACCCGGAGTGTATATTTTGAGTGCTCAGGATGTTGTGTGCTAGTGATTAAACCAGGCAACTCAGAATGAGCCACCTTCTAGCACTAGATATTAATTACCGTGTCAACACTGAATAACTTCTTTAGGGGCAAGAACCAGTTTTAAGTTGCTATTTAATCATGTGATCTCCTTGAAAAAGACAGAAGTGATCTAATGTCTTCTGCACAATAGTTTAATTTAGATGAGGTGATGTAAAGACTAATATGTTGGCTTTCTTGTGCTGCTGAAATTGTGCTGCAAGGAATTTATTACAGTTCCATGTAGTTCCTGGTTGAAAAACTCATCTGAAGATACTTGTTCTCTTCTTTTGACATGGCTATGGAAAAATTAGTAACTTGTTGCTTTGCAACTAGCTGTACCTTTTGTGTAGAATATGATACTTGCTTTTGCATGTCAAAAAGGTACACTGTATTTGTTTGTATAGCTTCATATATATTTATTTAGCCATTTAATTTTAACATGACAGATTTGACTGTGGGAAATGGAAACTTGAAACTAAAGCTCAGCTAAAATGTACAAAATGCAGCTTCTTAAATTCTCTGATCAGTTGAATCCTACATAAATGTGAGGGTTACAATGAGAGATTTAAAATATAATCCTTTTCAGCTGGGATATTCAAAACCATATGACATAAATTGGTACCTTTAACTGATTGTCTCCATGCTAATTTTCCACAGCTTGAAGAGGAAAACTTTTCAATTCGCAGTTGGTTTCTCAGGTTTACCTTAAATAGAATAGTAAACAGAATTAGTACAATAATATTAAGTGAAAAAAAAATTTCTGCTAGAGGCCTGGTTTAGTACTTTCCAACTGGCCTTTTTTTCCAAATGTTTTAATTTGTGGCTTTGATCAGTGTTAGCATTTAACTGCTACTGGAACCTTTTTAATTAATCACTGGATTGTATACTTAAGATACAATACAGATTGTTCACAGTTTCCAGCTGAACTCTAAATATTTCTATTCTGAATATCTTCTTAATTAGGAGATATTTTTTTAAAATGTTGATTGGCTTACCTTGGTGCATAGTGTAATGCCATATACCAGTTAGATTGTTTTATAACTTCTAAATATTATTTAGAATACACATTCCCTAAACCTGCATAACTTTAAAAATGCATAACATGAGGTAGAATAATTGTATTTAATCTAAAGAAAATACTGGATAATCAAATGTCTTTTGATGACTAGGTTTAGAACTCCCACCGAAGAAATTGTAAGGAACGTGAAATGTGACTGTTCAGTGGCATCTTTGTCATGGCTGTAAAAAAACATCTTTGTCTTTGCAGGGATAGTAATACTTAGAAATAGCATTGGATTTTTTTTTTCAGTTCTTGTTTTTGTTTAAGATGCGTGTTAGAGTATCCAGTTCTGACATCTCGCAAAGTCTGTCTAACTGTTACAGTGTATCTAGTTGTAATCAGAATTAACGTGAAGATGAAACATGAGAAAGATAAATTATTATAGTCATGGTAGGAAGAACAGCTTACTTTTGCAACCTTAAGGGAAATCCTCCTAGGTTTCACTATAATAATAGTAGTAAGACTCTTAAAAATTATGGAAAACTATTTCCACTCCTTCCTACATATACCTAGTTTTTAGGAATGTAATTGTAGTTTTATAATTATTCCTCATGACTTTGTGACAGGATGAATATGAAGAGCTACTTCATTGTGCTGTGGTGACTCCGGACTTTGAGCAGTGCGTCTCAAAGTGGTCACTGGCTTCAGAATTGAGAACAGGTGCCAGATTTTCAAGTGCAACAGATCATGCCATTCACCACAGGACTCCAGGTAGTATGTGCAAAGCAGTGTGTTGAGCTTACAAGAACAATAGTACAACTTTTTTCACTTAAGTGTTCTAATAGCTTCTGTTTGAAAAATATGTGATGCAGAAATAGTTCATTTGCCTTTTGCACAACAAGAAATTTAGGAAAGTGTGTTCACTGAAGGGTTCTTTTGCTGACACCACTTTCAAGGGATAGTACTGATGTGCTGAGTTCTGTGATTTGTGAGGCGCATGTTTCAAGTGGTTGGTGTAATAATGCAGAAAGGGGTACCATTTCTTACACTACTGTCCTGGTCTGGGGTAAATAGAGCTCATTGAATGTAAATTTTTCTGTCAATAGAAAAATTTCAAGTGCATTTTGATTTTTACATATTGATGTTTATTAACTAGATCCAGTGTAGTTATGTCCTTTGTGGGAATTGTACTAAGCACGTAAGAAATGAGATCAATAGAAGCTGCTGGTATTTTGTACTATGGCAATTGTTCTTGGGCACTCCCAACATTGTAGGAAAAATTCCACTACAGTAAGAGGTATTCCTGAAACTCCTAGAATGAGAGCAGTTGCTTGGGGTTTAAAAAATGGTAATGCAAAATATTTGAGTGGGGGATTAAAACATCCTCATCTGTTTTATCAGGTCCAGGTACCAGAAATTGCAGTCTCATAAATTCAGCTGAGGGTAAAGTTTAAACTATATGGGATTTCCACAGCCAAAGAACATTTTGTGGCTACTCTCAAGAGTCAAATACTCTCCGACTACGTTCCTTTAAATGCTGGGCGTGAGGAGGGTTTTTAGTACCAGTTGACTTGTCTAAAAGCTTTTGCTGTTACATGGGATCTTGGTTTAGCAGAGTGATACAGCCATATACTGAAATCAGAATGCAAGCGTGGTCTGTTTGGATCTCTCAGATTTACAGGTCAGCATACTCTGTAAATGAAACTTTTCTGAGCTCAGTAGGAAAGAAAACAAATACATCAAACAAGGGCTCAATCCCCTTTGTACAGACTAGTCTAATGTGAAATCACTAATTCACCCCTTGATTCTAACTCACAAGTTAGAAATTCATAACTTGCAACGTGTAGCTCACACCCCTGTGAAAAAAACACCTAGCTGATGGTGAGAGTGCTCATCCCTCCTCTGTCACAGAGCAGGACTCCTCTGTAACACTTCAGGAAGCAGAAGAGCCTCAGCAGTGCGGTTGCTTTCGGATACATTTAAAGAGCCCTTTGGGTAGGCTGACATATTTATTCCTCCCGTCTCGGAATTTTTGTCCGTACTGTTTCTTTAAGACAGTGGATTCTGAAGGAACTGCCAGACAATCACTGTGTGAGGGTTATGGCTGCAGGAGTCAGCAAACTGCTGCAGGTAATAACAGCTGCATAATGACCTTTAGCCCTTATGTCCATCAAGTCCTGCCTACATGCTGCTCTTGTCTAGACCTGATGCCTCTGTTCCCAGGATACACCAGGCCTTAGCATGAGCTATGTGTTAGCCAAAATCTGAGCAGTACTTTAGTGAGCAATCCAGGTTTGTAGAGTAGTTATAATATACAGTCAGGTTACAGTACAAACATGGTTCTGGTTGCCAGTCTCCGTACACTAGCCATCATGACTCCACAGTTGCTGGGAAGGACTATGTGGGCAAAAGCCAGCCCCAGCCTCTTGCTCTGTTCAAAGTTCATTGTACTGTTTGCTCAGTTTTTATGCTGTCTTGGGTTGAGCCAACACTTCCCATGTGCTTGTCTGGCTAGCCCAGGGATACATTCACACTTCTTGATTACATAAGGCCACTTACACTATCAGTTGATCCACTCAACTTATACAGCCATTTATAAAAAGCAGAGGCCACCCTCTGCCCCTCCCTGTGTTGAGATAAATTCAGCTGTTTTTACAACAGCTGTGATCACTCCTTGCATTCTTCCCTGAGCTTCATCAGCATAGTGCTCATCTCCTCCAAGTCTTCTTCCATTGTAGAAGGCTGTTGGTCAGTCACACTAGAAGACTGCCAAGATTCAAATACACTTGGAGAGCTCTTGAGTGATAAAGCAGGTCAGGTCAGCAGATGGAAGCACTTCTCAGCTTAAGAAGTTGTTCTTAAGAAGGGAGTAGAAAATTTCAAACCTAGGTATGTGGGAATATATTATGGAGCAAATTCTAGTCAGGTCTTGTCCCCAGTGTTCTCTGTGTTTACAGTTTTGTCTCCCATTTTAAGTGGAACTGGGAAAGGGAAAATTTGTGATGTGTGATACTGTTGTTTGTAAGAAAGACAGAATCAGAACACTAGACTTGTTTTGGGGTAGATAACTGTATACTCGGTTTTCAGTCATATATTTCTGACAAGAAGAACTTAGCCAGCACTGTCTGGTGTCTCTCTTTAACTCTAAGAGGGGTTATGCTTCTTTTTCATGAGGCCAAACATGTAGCCTATGAAATCCTTTTTACTACCAAAGGTGTGCAATAGAAGTGAGAGAAATCTCCATTCTCTTAATTGCTTCTCTTGAAATATTTGAATACAGTTATGTTTTAATATGCGTGGTATTACCGAATAAGAATAGCCATTTGCATGCTGTAGCTAATTCTTATGGGACAGGGTAAAGAAGTGCTGTTCTACTTGGTGATCAAAATTTGCATTACAGGTTTATGTATTGCTGATTACAAGAAGCCACATACCCCCCCAAGTTATAGACAAACAGGTGTTTATTTCCTTTGCAAAGGGCAGCACCTTGCAAAATACAGCTTTCTTTTATTTTCAAAATGGGAAAAAAAAGTTAAAAACAGTAAAGAAGATGCTCTTGATCTTCTCAGACTGAGGCAAGAAGAATATTTGTATGGCCTCATCACAATTCTGTTAAAAACACACTCTAAATAAACTTCTGGTGGTTTGCTGCTTTATCAAAACACAGGTTTGCTCTTTGATATGTCAGTATATCCTGTCAGTCTAGGAAAGAAATGTCTTCTATCTCCTTGAAACAGAGCTTTAAATAATCTGGATGTAAAAGGCTATTTCAGCTTTTAAAAAAGGATCTGGCCAAAATCTGTCCAAATCTTTTGTATCAGCTCTAGCGTTGATCAAGGGTGATAACATATTTGAGGTGTTTGCCACAGTACAAATGGCCTCAGAATGGCTTTGGGTGTTTTCCCTGATACTAATAGCAGACTTTGGATCAACAGTGAGAAAGGAGTTAAGTTCAAGTTCAGTGCAATACCTCTGATTCTGATCAGGTAGAATAGATTAGCAATTTGTTTCTGAAGGACAGATTTTTTGTTTGTTTAGCTCCATTCTTTTGACATTGCTACATGTTCATACTACAAATCAGATTCTTCGATGTTTGTTCTTTTCATGTCTGGCTCTAATGGTGTTGCTGTGTTTAAAATCTTAAATTAATAGTGTTCTATAACTGTGTAAAACAAAATATATGTCTGTGGTTCATATAGAGTTAATACCTTAAAGCTTGCTCTTCTACAAGAGCTTCTCAAGTTTGCAGTATTTTTTTTTTCCCCTCTTCATGTGATGTTGTTATTGAGTTTCCAATGCCATGTGATGCCTTCTGAAATGAAGTTCTCTTTCTGGAGTATTTTTTGGCCTGCTGTTTTGACTTTCTTCTCGGGTTTTTGAAACCGAAGTGACTGTTTCTATTATGATGGTACAAGTCTAATTACTGGTAATATCTATTTGTTGCAGTAAATTAATGATACATAATATCTTCCTTAAAAGCTTTCAGTCAAATAAGAAAAATAATTGGAACAAAACATGCTGTATTATTCAATTCACTGTCCATTTTTTTTTTAAACTTTGAAGCCTAAAACTTAATTTCCTGTTCTTATTACTAGTTTAGTTGATTAAATTTGAAAATTACTAAGACTGGAGCAGTAAATTATTTGTAGCAAAGATGTGTAATGATGACTCAACCTAACTTAATTCATAGCCTCTTTTCAGGCTACCAGTCCTCAGTATTGATCCATTAAACTTCTGAGAATATTTTTTTTTTTTTTTAAATATACATTTTAGCAAATTGCTACCTTCAGCTTGGGACATCAATAGCAGATCGTCTGTGAGAACAGTCTGTCAGAGCTTATTTACATACAAAAAGCAGAAAAAGTCAGGTACTAGAGGAACAGAAAAAAACAATCTAGTAGTATTGGGATAACAGACATCTGGAAAAAACAGCTAATTTCATTACCTCCACTATAAACTAGAATATGGTCTTGAGATTTGTTAGAGTAAATGCATGTGGGGATTATTTAATTAAGTGCATTTTTATACTTTATCATATGCAAATGGTTCCATGTCCTTGGTACCTACGTGCACTGTGACTAAATGGTATCATGTAATGCTGGGGAAGGAATAGAGGTGACAGAGAGCATTGAGAACAAGAATAAAATTAATACGTATGGAAGTAGACAATTATGGCAATACTGGAAGGCCAAGATAAATTATGTAAGGTGAAAATGTAATTTCATGTAATGAATGTTACATGAAGATGTAATTGTGTAATGGATAAACTCAGTGAATTCCATGGCTACATCCTCTGGTAAATGAGAAAAATGGAAGACAAGTTAGGATAATCTGTACATAGGGATGGAAAAGAGAAGCAGAGTGATGAACTTGGAGCACTGCAATCTCAGACAGTGGCAGTTACCTATCTACTTCATTGTCCGTTTTTTATTGGTTACATTTTGTTCTGCTTTTTAATTTGTAAATACCTTACAACCTATGCTGTGTAAATTTGATATCTTTGTAATCTAAACAAGTGATAAAAGTTTAAAAGTAACCCTTCAGACATTTTACAGCAACATCCCAACTGAATGAAGAGCACAATGACATACCAGAATGGGAACAAGTAGTGAAGGACAGAACTGGCATATTTGACAATAGTAACACTACAAAATATTTTATATTGTGAAAGGTCAACCAGATTCTTCATCACTGAAATTAGATATATGTCAAGTAGTTTGATTCAACTGTCTAGCATATCCTGGTTTTTTGACATCTCTGCAGGCAATAAATATCCAAATTCTGCCATTAGCTAAGAGATACATCTTCCATTTGCAGGAGAAACAATGACAAAAAGCTAGAGCCTGTTCTTAACATACTAGTGTGATTGGGAGTTACTGTTTATGGCCATCTTATGTAATGAGGTAGGGAATTTAGTCTAGAGAAATGGTGTGTTAGGTGGGGCTACTTTAGCTCAAGCTCTGTAGCTGTATATGACCTTGGGAGAAATGCAAAAAAACCAGTTGTAACTGCCTCTGCATCACAGTTCTTCCTTGTTTCCTTATTATTTTGGAGCATGAGTGTAGCAGCTGCAGTTCAGCCTACTTGGTGGGAGGAGCAGACAGTGCTTCTCACTTCCTTTGGACAGGAGACCTAACAGTGACAGTAACTAAAGGAGTGTTGGCTATCAGGCTCAGCCTTGAATAAATTTCCAGTGTCCACTGAAAATACTGCTTTTTTACAAAAAAAAAGTTAAGCTTATATCTGTATGTTTGTACCAAAAAGATAGTACCTATCCACTATGAAACCAATTCTACAAACAATGTTTGTTTTTGGGAGTGAACACTACACTGTTGGGAGGTTTCCTCTCTCCATTTATGAAAGGAGGAGAGCATTCTTTTGAAGTTGACCTGATTGTTATCAGTATGTAGAATCTGCTAATCCCTCTTCTTTAATTTTTTTTTTTAAATTCAACTGTCAACTCAAATAACAAATTTAATGTAAGGCATAACTAAATATGAAATAATATTTGATTTTCTCTATTTACTTTAACTTATTTATTCTCAGGTCTTTTTTTTTTTTTTTTTTCTTCCTATGAGTTGGAACTCGGGCGTATGCCCATTTGCTTCTGGATGTGGTTTAGTTTTTATTGCAGTGGTAGTTAGCCACAGCATTTGAGAGAGGGGCCTTATTGTGTAAGGCATTATATAAATTCATAGCAGATACTTCTTTTCTGAGAGATTTTAAAATCTAATTAGGTGAGCAAATTGAAGGCTGTAAGGAAAACGGACGCATACCAACACTGAAATATATCCACAGGTTGTTTTGTGAATGTACAAAGGAAGGGCTCTGACCTCAGGAGTTTTCAGTTTCATTAAGGAAAATGGCAAAAGTTTTTTAGATTTTTGACCTGAGATGTTTATTGACAGGAAGCCTTTACTGAGGGAGTTACTTTTTGTTTCTGGCAACACAATTTTTTTGGTGCTTGCTGTGATCATCCTCTTTAAAATGTAATTATGTTAAAAGACTACTCTTTCAGGAAGTAGTAGTTTTGATTGGACTAACATTACAATCAGACTGTTGGTTTAAATGTGCTTTGTCTTGGAAACATATATTTGAATTGGGGTTTTTGTTTTACATGGGGAAAGGAGGTTTCCTATGACATCAATATTTTGGGTGTTTGGGTTTTAGTACCTGGCTTCTGACTCCCATCCAGACTGCAGACCTCTTAGCCTTTCTTAAGTATCAAGCCTTAATTCTCTGTTTCACTTTTAGTCTTAATATCAGTGAAGAGGTCTTCTGAGGCCAATATGGAACAAGTTTGCCCTGCTTCTTCAGAAGAGACTTCTTCACAAGGGTCCTCACACGGTCCAGGAGAAACAAATGAAGCCATAGTGACTGAATTAACCTTACCTGATGAAAAAGTAACTCAAATAGAAAATATACTTGATCTCTGGAGTGGAAATCTTAAGGTATTTGTTTTCTATGGAATCCTTAAAAATCATATACAGATGTCAGCATGGTGTAGAGTAAGTGAGAGTGCAGGAAAAGTTGTGGTGTGATTGCACTGGGAAATTGTGGTTTTCTTTTTGATTGTTTTGTGTTGAATGTAAGTACTAGAATATCTTGCTTCAAGAACTTTGGAATAACTTTCTCCATTAGGGATGTTCAGTTATTATCATTCAGTAGTTCTTTATGTCTGGTAGCATTTACACATACAAGCAGCCTGTGTAGTGAAGGCATCACTGTAAATATTAATGTATCCTTAATTGATAAGTGTTGTAAGGTTAAGGGATTAAGGAGAAGAGCATAATTTTACTAACTGCAATACTTTCATCCCTTTAATTTTTCAGACAAACGTTCTGACTGAATTAAGAAAATGGAAGCTTAGTTTGATCGAACATCATGAGCTTCAAATGAGACAAGAAAAAGAGAAACACACTGCACATGTGAGACAATTGAGCAATGAGATAGAAAACATGAAGGAGTTGCTACGTACTTGCGAAATATCTATTGGCAGGAAAGATGAGGTAGTAATTAACTTTCATAATTCAAGAGCTGTTTTCTTAAAAATGTTCTCAGTTTTTGGGTCCATCTCTTTGAACAAAATTCTTCTTGCAGCAAATAGCATAGGAAAGTAAATAATGTACTTAGTCTGTATAGTGGAAAAAGTTAATATTGCTAATGGAAACTTAACATATTGTATGTACATGTTTTATGTTGTTTACTTCTCAAATCTGAACTCTATTGTTGTTCCTTATTTCATGTAAATCATGCTGGCTTAGCTTTTAAAAGTCTTTAATTTTTCAATGTAGGATTTGTTTTCTTGAATTTTAAATGGGCAGCAGTCTCCTAAGTGTTAGTGAGTCTCTATTTTAGGATTCTTAGCAATTGTACATTTGTACAGATTCTTAGGATTGTACATTTGTGGTCTCTGAGTTATGCTTTTCTGCTATGAACAACTTCAAAATTAACCAGCATTGTGGAAATGGATATAAAATTTTGGCAGCCTGCAATTACATAATGTAATTGAATCCTCTTATTGCTATCTGAAATTGAAGTGTTCTCACACTTAATGGATTTTGAGTTTTTAATTCCTATTTACCTTTTTTAGTTCAAAATGTCTGCTGAAGCAGCTAAAATATCAGGAAGATGGTGCTCTGTGTCCATATGGAAAACAGCCTAGTCTTACAGACCAAGCAAATATAAAAGATGTAACACTGCAAGAGCAGGATCAGTATAATGCTCTTTTACTAGTACATATGTGCAGAGCCTTAGTTATTTCAGTGTATACAATTCAAACATATCTAATTCTTCTGGATGTAATTGTATGTCACTCCTTTTTAATGCACCAGAATCCTTGATGATACTGAAATCAGTGGGGTTTTTTTTCAACTCCCAAAGAAATTGTCTTCGGCCAGTTTTATAGTTCTGTTTCAAAAAAGAAAGAGGAGTTTTCAATAGAAAATCATTTCTGCCATCACCTTAATAGTAGGTAGCACTGCTTCCATGTTTCACAGCTTATTTATCAAAACTGCTGTGTTCTGACATGTGAGGCTGATGGATTTTGGGTTATGCCCAAGTATTACGAATACTGTAGATTGTTGTTTTCACATTGTAAATCTCAAATGCTTTTTAGTGGTATAAATATACTAACAAACATGGATTTTGGCTAAGGTATACCGCATCAAAAATTGCTGGTTTGGTTATATGACAGTTTTTCAACACAACTAATTTATTGGTTTGTATTTTATTGATTCGTTGAAAATCTATGGAAATTTACTGATTTTTATATTCATTCTTATCTGTATAGCTGAGACCATTCAGTTATTCTGAAACTGCAAAATATTAAAATCAGTTATATGTAAGCAGAGAAAAGTAACATACTAAATTTATTAACATACAGTATTATGAAGAACTTGTTCTTAAAAATCTAGAGATGGATCAGCTTTAAATTACTTGAAATGTATCAGATTGACCTTTGTTTCTGACTTTGATAATTTGAACACCTTAATGAAACAATAGTAATATTTTCTCAAACATTCTGAAGATTGACTGAAATCTTTTTGTATGAAATTCTGGACTGAAACAAAACAGGAATTTTGTACTGTTTGCTAGATGACTTTGTTGATTTAAAGGGTAACATTTATTTTAAGTATCATTCATTTCATTGATGTATGTTCAAGAATCATGGCATGTAACATGCAGCATAACACATTAAGGTATGTTACTGTGTAACATCATAGAACAGTTGTTCAGAATCTTTATGCAATAGTTGAAGTAACTTGTGTCACTCCGGGAGTTCCAGGGCTAGTCGCTGTTGCCCACTGGAGCTGGTAAGTTGTGGCTGATGGCAGGGTGAGAAGTTGGGCGAGAACAGAGAAAAGTCCTCAGGGATTTGGTGTCCCCAGCTTGTGTCCTGCCTGGCCTAGGTTTTTAATCGGGGAACCTCAGCTGTCTCTATGGGCTGATCAAAACAGATTTAGAGGTCGGTGGTAGATGTCCCTAGCTGCATTCTGTGTCCAGTAGGCCATCCTGCCTCTCGAGGGTTTTGGTTGAAGGCCTACATGATGGCCTTTCATGAGAACTTTAAAAGACAGTAACAATTCTTACTCAGATTTTTCCAGCTCTTAGCAATGCCTTAGCTTGTTTTTTTCTGTTCAGACAACTGAATAACTTTATACAGATAGTTTCTTTAAACTTCTCTTAACTAATAATGCACTTAAACTTTTAACATAGATGTTCTTGATTTATCAAAATTGACTCTGAAATAAGTGATTCCTCTGACCTCATGCTGCAGTAAATTATAAGGAGCACAAAAGCCTCAGATTTAGGATGAAATAACAGCTTAGCTGAACTTTTCCTAAAACTGCACAGTGGAAGTGTTTAAGTGATGCTGTCTGAGTGCTGAAGCCACGGGATTTTTACTTCTGATTTGAACTCTGATTATTGTTCCCTGCTTGATTGGAGTGACGGGAAGATTCAGCAGAAAGTGTCTGTTAAAATCAAATGCCAAACGTGAAAAATATTTGATGCCTAAAGTACACTCTGTTTGACATTACAAACATCACAAATGTTGAAATACTGTTAATAAATATTTTTTCAGGTGATTACTAACTTGACTCAAGCATTAGAGAGGCAGAAGGAGCGAGTAGAGTTGATGAGAAGGTTTACGCTGTGGCGGGTTCAGCATGTTAAAGCCAAACAGGAGGTATGTGCACAAAATAAAAATGCAATGAAGACAAAACCTTTGAACTCAAAAGGACCAGAGTTGCTGTAGCTCCTGCTACAGTTTGAAGAAATGACAATGTTTCTGTCTTTGTTTGGCACTGTCAAATAACAGTTTGAAAACATCAATTCCACAACCAATGCTGCTGCTGAAAAACCCTCTGGGATGGAAAAAAAAAATCAAGCCCATACTTGTCTCGTATTGCTCTAATTACTGTGATCAGCTCATAACAAATTACAGTATCCACATCTTGAAGCAGGTGCTAAGGGAATCTATGTAAATTTCAAACACATTATATTTCAACAGTGGTAGGATACAGTATAATGTTTTGGGAGGAAGCCACTTTCACAAGTAAAACTTAAGTTGTCCTTTCCTCACACTGCCAAAACTTGAAGTAGTTGCGAGCTGGTCACACAGAGAATGTTGGACGTTGCCTCAGGCATCTAACAGTAAACAGTCTGCTAAGTGAAGTATGATAAAAAAGAAGGGTCCAGACATCTGTGACAGAAAAGATGTCAAGATTGCACACCTTTGCCATGCCAAGCTGTTAAAAAGGAGAACCTGTGTTTGGGACCCATGTTTGTTTGTACAGATTCCTGGCTAGACTCGAGTTCACTGAAGCAATTCAAAACTCTGCTAATTTGCAGAGATGGGTAGTCTTTTCTCTTTTCCTTCCTTCCCATCTGAGCATTTACCAATAACTTGGTATCTTGTTTTTACTCAGCTCTTTTTATTTTTTTCTAATGCATTTCTGAAGAAATAATTTAATGCTGAAATGCATTGTCTGGTGACTATTTTGAGAGAGAACACAAGAAAAGAATTGTCTTAAGGAACTTCTTAAAGCCTCCTGACGCCTAAATTTATTAAAAAGATAGGGTTTTTTTTTATTCTAATTGTCTGCGGTCTTTGACTCCGGGTTTTATAGTGTTCCTGCAGTGAATCAAAATATGCCATGTACCCATTAAATGGCTTCAGACATCCTCCTCCCCGCAGCGCCTGTGGCTCAGCCGAGGTGTCCCCACCGTAGCCTGTGTAGCAGGCCGTGGAACACCCGCCCCGGCTCTCGGGACCCCGGACACTTTGGGAGGCCTGAACTTGCGTATGACGCGGTTGCGTTTGTTTCTCAAGGAGCACGCAAAGCGAATAGCAGACAGACAGTTCCGGACGGTGGTGATGAGGAAAGTGTGGGCAGCGTGGCGCTCTGTCAGTGAGGAAAAATGGAAAGAGAAAGTAGCAAAAGCCTGTCAGCTAAGGGCAGAAGATGTCTGTGTTCAGCTCACCAATGACTATGAAGCTAAAATTGCAGAGGTAAAATTAGGTTTCTTTTTTTCATTTTTTCCTTCCTTCCCTTACCCCCATCCCTCCAAAGTGTCTCTCAGCAAACTTCAAGAATAGGAGGACTTTCTGGCAGAACGGAGCTCCCAAAGTACAAAGCAAGATCTGAGGAGATCTAAGCTCTCTGCTATGGTTTTTTGGCTGTGACTCTTTTTTCACCCGCATCTGATAAAAGTTGTTGCTGACCTGCACATACAGGTGAAGTAATTTGGACTCTTCCTGAAGCGAGACAAATCACTGTTTGCCCACCAAATACCAGGGATGGTATTTGTTTTCTAAGACCACCGTATTACTTTTGGCTATGCATTTTGAGGTCTTATAGAAGACAATGGAAATATAAGCCCATTGTTATTATGAACGATCATAATGAGAACAGTAGGTTTTTTTCCTGTAATAAGAAAGGCTGCTAAAGAATGAGTTTAAGAATGGTTTTGCTTTCAACTTGCCAGTTAAGCTTGTTAAATTTCACATGTGCATTGGTGCACAGTAAGTAAATAAAGTTTTAAAATACATTTTAGAAGATTTTTATTTTAACAAAAAATTAAACCTAGAATTTTAAGAACAGGCTTACCAAATGTGGCTTACCAGCACAAAAACAGTAATTAGAGAGTTACAAAGTTAACTTTGTATTTTCTCAACATTTTTAGTTTTTTACAGGAGCTAGAAAAGTGAGATTGCTGGTGACAATTCACCCTATATTTAAATAGTTTCCTGGAAACACTTACTTCTTCTGTAGAGCAAATCCATATTCCTGTAGAAGGCTAGTGTGTGCCAGCTGCCTAACTTCTAAAAGACAAAAACTTTCAAGATAAGATTTCTGTTTAGCTGGTGAGGTGGGGTCTGACAGTCCTTTTGAACATGCTCTTGTCCTTGGTATGTTGTGGTGCAAAGAAATCACAAGTAGCTGTCCATCTCCCGTGAACCAGAGATTTTGAATTGAAAATGTGTGTCTTTGTAAATGCAGTAAGTTATCCTTAAAGCTAACTGAGGAATGTGTTTGTAGCTTGCATTCAGAAGTCCAAGAGAGCTGTCCCCTTTTTCCCTTCCCTAGCTAACTGCTGCTGTGGAGCAGGCGAAAGCTGAGATTCTGCGCCTGCGCGGCGAGAGAGAGCAGTACGAAGACACCATGAAGAAAGCCTTTATGCGTGGTGTGTGTGCCTTGAACCTGGAAGCAATGACCATGTTTCAAGGCAAGGACAGTAGGACAGATTCTGGTCAGTATGAAAAGCAGCTCTCATCTGATAGTCTGTGTGTATTTTTGTTGGGTATATTTGGGTTTCAAAGGATTCTCCCTGATTTTTGCCTTTATTTCTCACCGTGTAAAGAACTGAAAATTAAGAGCTGCTATTCCAAAGCTTTATCTTATGTATTTGTTCGTTTATTGTTTTCAAAAAACATGCAACAGACAATCGGTATCCCTAGTAATGCTGAGAAATTCCGTGGTGTGAAATAGAAAAGCATTGTTTCTGTAAACCTGTAAAGAGGGTAAGTAGAAAGGAAATTAAGAAAACTGAGCTCTAAAGCTCCCATGACCAACCCTTAGGATTGACAGACCAAATATTTTGCTTGATCTTTACTACGGAGCAGCAACTGATACTCTGCACAGGCACAATACCTAGAGATTTGCCTGTGGTGGACAGTGCTGTACCAAACTTTTTGAGTGCCCAGCATCATGCTTTTTAATTTCCAGTGGTCAGTGTAGTCCTTCTCATCAGGCTTCATAACCTCTCACAGTCTCTGCTGTCCTGGCCATGCCTGCCATCTTCTTCCACTGCCTCTCGTACCACCTCCCCTGGCCCAGGCAGAATGACTAGTTCTTGCTAATATCAGGTGGTGCTTTTAATGAAGCTAGTTACATAATTAGTTAATGTGGTTGTACAACCATTTATTTTTAGTCTTCCTCAGGTATAACCGAACAGTGGTCAGGAAATCAAGGGATCTCAAACATCAGATTAGATTATTATTTTGATTTGCTCTAGTCCTGTAACCTATAGACATTAAAACTCCCATGTGCCAGTCTGCCAGTGTTTAGCTATTTATGGGAACACTGCAGCGCCACCTACTGTCCTTGGAAATAAAAGTAGAATTTGATCTATTAGGTTATTATAATGTAAATTTAATATAATATATACAATATCCCAATAATATACATATAAGCTACATTATAATGTATATTATTAATACTGTGTAAGTAGCACAACACTAAAGGGTCCATAACATTTGGTGTCAATGTTGGTCTGAAATCTGTCTGGCTGATTTACTGACAGATTTATTTTTTTTAAATATTGTTATTACTACTACTAATAATAATGTTTTTACCTCTTGATGTATTTGAAGGAACATTGAAACCACAAGAACTCATTACTTTCTCCTTAAACGTAACACTGCATTTTTAGGTAACAGATCATATCTCTCTGGTCTGTAACTATGCATTGGTCCTGTCTGTGCTTAAACTTGGGGGTGTGTGTGCATAAATATATATGTACAAAATGCATATTCTGTCATACTTTCACTCTTGAAATCTTTTGAATATTGCAGAGATTTGAACTACCTTCCTTATATTTTTCCTCCTCTCTTCAAGAGAAAAACAAATACACACAAACCCAAAAAAACAACCAAACAAAAAAACCCCAAACAAATAAAAACCCCACATCAAGCACAGTTACCACATGGTGTCACTCTAGTCCCTGGAATGAGCAAGTTTCCTTGTCCTAGAACTGCTTCTAGCATCATCTGCTTCAGAAAGAGGAGAGTAAGTAAGAATACCTGTCCCTGGTTCCTTTAAGGAAGTTTATAGTCTAAAGGAAAGGCTGAAACTGCTTGGAAAAGGTCTTAGGCTTATGTCTGATGATCTGACCTCCCCGGGATGTCTGCATTGCAAGGCCAAGGAATCTTGGACGAATTTTGTGTTAACTTGGGCTCACCCAGCTGGTGAGGTTCAAGATGAGGGCTGTAGGGTGCCCATAGATAGTCCCAGCCCTGCAGACAGGATGGTGGCCACTGTCCAGACATTGTATGTGGAGATGAGATGCTGCTGAGCATGATCTAAGGCTCCTTGAAATTGCAGTATGTTCTCAGAAATCTTAAAATCACATCTTATTTTACTGACAGCCCCCTTAAGGACATTACTGCCTCGCAGGAGTCCAGCATGGCCTTTCTGTGTTTTGCTGCTCTCTACCTGAACTGTTTTGGACGGTCGTGCAAGAGCAGCTCTTGCACACCGGAGTTAGTGTTGGCAAGCAGCATGGAGAACTTCAGTTCTTTGCACTGCAAGTATGTGACAAGTGCCCCAGGGAAGAAGCTGAGGTATAACACAGAAACGAGCCCCTTGGAAAATATTATTTCCAAGCATCTGAAAAGAAAGGTCAGGTACAGGAATGTTTGTGTATAAAGAACAGGCTGGTCCTATTCATTAAAATGTACAGAAATCCCAAAGGAATGGTAAAGTTTTTACTGTGACTTAGCTCTTCTTTTCCCCCTAGGGCTTGCTAGATTATGTGTTGATCCCATTACTTTGTGTTTCTAATAATAGATGTAGAAAGTAGGAGAAATGATAATGGTACCGTTGTTGCAGGAAGGCCACCTCCGTCACAGTACAATCCACCCTCACCTCCTCCTCCACCAGCAACCACTCTTCAGCTGGAAGACGTGGTAAGCCTGTAGCTGGAACAGAACTGTATTTGCTAGTGATAAAGAGTGAATCCTCCATTGGAGCTTTTTAAAAATAAATGCTGTAGCTCATTGAAGAAATTTGAAGACAGTCTAAGCATGAAAAGAAACCTATGGGTACATTCAGGCTGCATTGTGTAAATGAAGTGACTGGGCTACAGCTGCTGTACTTTCATTAAGCTCTGTTTTTTATTTTAGTGAAAATGCATTAAACTAATGAACACAAGGTTACTATAATAAGCAGAATTTGCTCTCCAAAGTTTTTTTTTCGGAAAAAAAGTTGTTTAGAGATTTACTTTTTTTAGTGAGCTTAGTATAATCTGAAAAGAAGAAAAGCTGGCTAGACTTGAAGCTTCTTTTTTAAGTGTAACATATATAGACACTGAGGGAACTCAACTTGCTGTCCTGTCATGCCAGCTTAGCTAGATCATTATCCAGCAGCTTGTATGTTCTGGGCCTGCCCTGGAGTCATCTTGAAGACTTTGCCACTGTAAAAAATTCACACTAGAGTACAGTTTGAAACAGAGTGGGTGTGCTTGTCTCTCTCCTGATTTTTCATTCTGATAGTATTAAATGTCATTCGCACCGTTTCTACTACCTGGACAAGTACTTTTAGATCAGGCAGAGAACGGTAAAACTAAAGATGAAGTATCTGCAAAGAAGTGAAATTTAGAAAGGTAATTGGAATTGTAAAAAAACTGGCTATCTAAAGAGTAAAACTGTATTTTCTAGAAAGTTTTACATATTCTTTGTAAACTCTGGTTTCATTCACAGTTTTCTACCCACCTGGGTCATGCAAGCACTTCTCAGACCAGGCTAGAGTCTGATTCTCCAGCCATTGTCAGTAGTACAGCTGCAGGATCTGGTGTGGTGTCAACTCAAAAACTGGTAACACGCTGAAATTATTTTTCACTGTTTTTAGACATAATCATAACAAATATTAGTTTGGGTATTCTTATTTAAGGATTTTTTAAAGCAACATGAGTACATCATCGAGGAAACTGCCATGGATTGTACATAGCTGTGTGTAGACATTCAACTGCAAATGCTCATTAATATCACAGAAACACATCTGTTAGGAGCAATTTTAAATAATTTTTTGGAGGGAGGAGGGGGAAGTGTGACAAGATGGAGAATAGAAGAGTGCACATATGTATAGCACGACAGGAACAATTGGTGTTTCACATGATATCATTTTGTTATGGAAAGAATATGCTTTGCTTTAGCATCCTGCTGTTTGAAATGTCTCTCTCACTCCCTCTTCCATGTTTGTTGCTAAATTGTCCTTTTTACTTTTCTTCACTGTCTCCTCCATTGCTCTCTTTCCTTCTTCTCCAGCTGATACAGTTTGCTCCCAGCTGTCAGGGAAGGGTGCAGCATGTTACCGCGTGGAAGCTTTTTGTCACTCTGTCACTGCTAGAAAGGCTTGCCAGGGTGATGGAAGTGCCTGCAGCTGTCACTCAAGTATGCAGCCAGTGAGCAATGCTAAGCTATCCATGCTGCTTCAGTTTTGTCAAATTAGCATTACTCCCCTCAGGATAGAAGTCACTAGCTCAAAATGCTATCTCATACTAAGAGTGGGAAAGGATGGAATAAATCAAGTTACAACTAGGTGGAGTAAAGTCAGTCTCATATAACTGCTTTAGCCGCAAGGTCCCGTGTTCTGTTTAGGCATGTGGCTGATGAAATTAAGCAGACATACTACAGCTTTGTAAATACTATGTTTAGAATTTTTTACCAATTAATACTTGATTTGTTTGTAGCCCATGGCGAAAGTAATAACATCTGCTCAACAGAAAGCAGGAAGAACAATCACTGCTCGAATCATGGGCCGAGCTGACATGGGACAAAAACCAAGAACTTGTGGTAGTTTAGCAGTGATGGGAGTTGCTCCACCCATGAGTTCAGTCATTGTTGAAAAACATCATCCAGTCACTCAGGTAAGTCAGAATTAGGCTTTTAACAATATTTTTATTATGAAACATCTGGTGGTAGTCTAAAGGCAAATTACCACCCTGAAGAGGTATTGGACAAGGCTGGGACTTGAGACCTGTTTAAAATAAGAAGCAGTACTGTACTTGGGCTGAGTAGGAGGCACTGACGAGGACAGGAAGTAAATGCTGCTACCTTGTCTTGTTTCTGTAGTAATTATTTCACAGGTATAGTAGTCTTGGCTGCCGCTTTCTTGGCCCACTCTTCCATGGGTTTTCCGCTTTGTTGAAGTGGTCAGTTGGTACAGCAATATTTGGTGTCATCACTGTGCAACCACTGTCTAAAGATAAGCTTCATTGTGTGGAGCAGGAAGAGTGACCGAACCAGAGGTGTTAGGGCTATAGATTAGTTTGACAGGTAGAGCGTAGCAAATTATTGGGGTAAAAAGTAAAACCCTCATCCAGAGGCAATCAAATTCATCAAGCCTGCTGCTTGCTTTACTTTGAGTTCTACTCCCTCCATTCATCCTGAGGAAAACTGTGGAAAAAAGTGCAATACTAGGATGTGAAAGCAATATACTGGACAACTGTAAATAGTGGCCTAAATAGCCTAGGCAATCACTGCGCTTTTAGACCAATCTGAGCAAAAATCATTTTAACTGGAGCTGCTCAAAACAACTGAAGATGGCTTTTTATATTTTAACTTGTACAGTAGGATCTGAGTTTTTTCTGTGCTATCTAAAAGTCCCATTTCTCTTGAGTGATACTGCCGAAACAAGCAGAGCTACGTCAGTTCCTTTAACTCAAGCTGGAGCTAATGGCAACTATGTGAGGGATTTTCTGCTTTCACACATTTCCTGCAGTGAATCAGAGCCCTGTGGCAAGCTGCACATGGCTTTCATGAATCTGGGCTCTTAAGCAGAAATTCTTATTCAAAATATATGTCCCTAGGGGGTTAGAGGTTTGGGATGAGGCTTCTTGCAGTAAGAGCAATTTCTGGATTCAGGTTTTGTGTCTGTTATGACAAGAGAAGTATCTGAACTAGCATACCAAAAATTGACTTCTAAAATTGTAATAAATGTAACAGACCCAGAGATAAATTCTAATATTATTTCTGCCAATAAATACTGAAGTGGAAGTTAAGCAGATGAAGTATTCCTCCTGAACTGACAGGGGAGAGAGTTTTTAGCTCAATTAAAAGGAGAATGACTACTTTTTATTGCAGTAAGGTGGTTAGTTTTTCAGTAAGAAAATTCATTGTTGTTAAATAAATGCAAACCTTTTCCTTTCAGAGACCAGAGACCTTTCAGAGACTTCTTCATAGCAAATACTCAGCTTCAAAAGGAAAGTTGGCTTGAGTAAATTAGCACTGCAGAGGAAAATTCTGAGCAATTTGGTAAAAAAAACAACCAAACAAACAAAAAACCCAACCATGAAATAAAATTGAGGTGATAAAAGCTCAGGGTACCTAGTAAATTGGAAGATTAGTACTTTGTGTTCTAAAAAGTGCATTACAGATAAGGAAAAAATTTACTCATTCTGTTTAAGTAACACTTTCTTTTTCTGAGAAGTGTATTTCAGTTTGCTGGATTGCAAATCTTTCTGTTTAAACTAGAGCTTACTTGGAGCTGTTTTAATGCAATTTTTAATTTTTTTTACCATTAAGTGTTTTGATGTATCTGATTACTTTTCAGCAAACCATATCCCATGCCACTGCTGCTAAATATCCTCGAACTGTGCTCCATTCTTCTGGTTCTACTACCGTGAGACCTGCAGGACAAGCTGGGCGAACGCTTCAGGGCCAAACTCATACCAGTGTTCAGTCAATAAAAGTTGTTGACTGAGTAACCATCTTTCTCATCAGTGGGGATTTTTATCAAGGTCCAATTTAAACCTTTCCTCAGTCTTTTCAGGTTTGATGTAGCAAGGCCTAAAGTATGTATCATGTTTTTACCCTTTCCTAAAAAAAAAAAAAAAGAAAATAAAAAAAAATAAAAATTGAAAATGTTTTTACGGTAAACATCTGGAGGGAGGAAAAAAAACTTGTAATGTTGTTCTACCTCCAAACTATTTGAGAACTTACTTTATTAAGATAAACTTTTTAAGGACACTTTAATGATAAAAGCTTTTGTGCACTTTTAAATAAAGGATAGAGTGTGATTTTTGTCTGAATCTCTTTTCTTTAGTCCCAATGTTACTAATATCTACTCTCAAGTGAAAATTAAATTTATTTCTCTTACATAATGCTTTTAGTTGCTTATGCATTAAAGTGTAGTTGACATGCATCTTAATTATTCTGCAACAGCATACTTAAATGTAGAGTAACAGAGTGGTACCATCCCCACCCAGGGTGCAGCTTGGGCCAGGTGAGGAGCCAGGTTCAGCAAATGGTTAAACAACAGTCTCCCTTTCCAAGCTGATGTCACAGAACTTGATGCATACCTGTCAGGATCTAAGATTTTGTGATTTTTACATCCCTAATTCCAAAACCTGAGGGTTTACCGGGATTCCTGTGCTGCTCTGCAGCCACGTCAGAACAGGTTGCACACGAGGGTAGTTCCACGTGAGACTTCAGACTAAGACACAGATCATCATCTTTTTAGTACATACAGTAAGACTCAGTGCAAAGTAACGCTGGCTGCATATGGATAGAGAAGGTGATCCAGTGCTTCCATTGCACCAAAAACTTGCTGTTTTGTTATAGAGAAGACTACAGTCTGTATAGTTTTTCAGTAAGTACATTCAATAATGAGAAAACCTTTAAACATGTTCAGTAAGACACTATCAAATATTAATTCAAAACATGAATAGAAATAGGTAAATAATTGCTAGATGTGTTAATTATTAAATATTGCATATCCTTTTTTGAGTGCATGTACAAGGTTATACCATGATAGAAAATTCTGCAGCCAGCAACAAAGGGTTTTAGATGTGACTTTTTCTGTATTTTCACTACAAAAACCAAATGCTGAAGAAGAGAGACTTAACCTAATCCTGGCACTAATTAAACAGGAGAAAAGCCCTCTTCTAATCCTAGCAAGACTTTACAAAAATGTGAATCCCCAGTGAGGCCAGGTGCTAACCTATTTCTGGAAGTGTTGATTTATACACATAATTTCACTTATTATATTTAATTTCTTTCAGGTAGACAACATCTCATTTGCATCTCATGTCAAACACAAAATAGCTTAATTTGCAGCTCCAGTACAGAATTAGTGTATCAAGGTTAAGCCATGTGTAGAAATCGTAGGAGGATGGTTCTTAGCAGTATAGTCATTCGATCTTAAACTTTAAATCACTGCAAAGCACACATATGAGAAAGAACTAAGCAGTATTTTGAGAGCACAAGTTCTAGCTTGGAAAAAGTCATACAACTTCAAAACAGTTATTTGTTCCCAGAAAAGATACTATTTGTGTTTGAAAGTCACTTTCCATCTGGCATGCAATTCCATCACACGTGCCACGTTTTATGGATGAACTCATGAAATCACACATCTTTTGGAGTCCATGTCAGTGCTACTTGCAGCTCTGATCTTCTCTGTAAAGTAAGAGGAGAGAACACTCGCTTGACATGCTCTGCATTTTACCAGGTCACGCTAATCTTAACTGAAGGATGGCCACTCCCCTTTTAACCGTGTTTGCAGGACAAAGGGCAGAAGCAAATTCTGCCCATTTTTCTCTTCTTTTACAGAACTCCAGTCTCACTTAAATGCTCTTCCTCAAGCAACCATACCCCCCCAGCAAGGGCTGAATCCCAGAAGGGAAGTGAGTGTCCTCCAGCTCTGCCACGGTCACACCTTCCCAGGAGCAGCAGGGCCTCAGCACCACAGCACAGTCTGGCAGCAGGCAGTGTGGGGTGCTCTGTAACAACTCACCAGCTAAAGGCTGAAGTCCGGCTTCCACCAGGTCCTCGTATATGTGCTTGAGGGGGTTCTGATGAGCCAGCAAAATACCATGCAGCCAGATGAGCAACATTCTGTTTCCGTGTTCCTGATAACTTTTTTTCCCTATGCAATACACAAAGCACGCGTCTGTTCCAGATGCTGGGAACAGTGTATTTTGTGCTTTTGCACTTTTAGACTTCCAAGAGGTTTTGAAACCTACTCATTTACTATTAATCCCTTTTTCACCTAGAAGCAAAATGAACACTGACACTTACAAAGGTTAAGAAACCAAAAAACACACCAAATTTTCATTTTATCCTAAGGCTACTGTAAAGGGGGAAAAAAAAATTTAATACATCTTAAAATTATTTTTTTTCCTTTCATTTTTCATCAACATGTGGAAATATACCCTGTACAATGTGTGGTATAGAAGTATTGCTTGCCCAGCACCTGAGATGCCTGCCACCCGAAACTGCTGTTTCACGCCAGCTGAAGACATGAGCAAGGCCTTCCTGTGTCACGAGGTTCTCCAGGTCCTCACTTGCAGCGTGACCTGCTGATCACTGCCTCTGTTTTTGATTTCCAAAGAAGAAGGTTCCTTCAGGCCTAGAGGAAGAGTGGAAGTGGCCTGTACTTCTACAGCACCGCTTCCCAGGAACTGGGGACAAAGCTTCTATTCATTCATTGTTCTTCTTGGTAATTTGAATAAAAGCAGCATGGCCAGTGTGTATCTGTCATTCGTAGTTTAAGAAGCAACTCTGCCTTGTGCTTTTTATAGCTTATATGTTATGTCTAGACATTCAGACATTGTTACCTGTCCATTGTTCTTCAATAGCTTTAATTTGTTCGTCTGTGAACTTCCAGAACAGGGCCAGTTTTTTCCACTCCTGGGGTCTTAACTGGTTGTACGCTAGATTCCAAAGAGAGGAGCGTATTTGCTTGGTCTGTGCACTGTGATCTTGTTTGAAGGACACGCTGAAGTCTGACCCATCATCGCTACCAGCTGGGTGTTCCTGAAAAAGAAAACAGTAGGAAAATATTGTACTGAAGGTGGGAACCTTTGCTCAGTGGGCAGTGAACAGTGTCCTGTCCAGCCATGTGTAGCTACTGACAAGTCATTTGTTCAGCACAGGTAAAAGAACCCTATTTGGCTTGTAGAGCTTTTGGAAGAAGGAAGCTATACAAGGGAAGGAAGAAAGGAGAGCTAGAATGGGGGGTATATAAGGAAGCTGCCCGAGCAGTAAGAGATCTAGTCAGGAAAGCCAAGGCACAGCTTGAATTGAATCTAGCTAGGGAGGTCAAAGGGAACATCAAGAATTTCTACAGGTATATTAATGGTAAAAAGAAGACTAGGGAAGGTGTGGGCCCCCTCAGGAGGGAAACAGGTGAAATGGTCTCAAGTGACCTGGAGAAGGCTGAGGTTCTCAACGACTTCTTCAGCTCAGTCTTCACTGC